AGTTATCCAAATTCCAATCAACAACAAAAAAAGCACAGGCCTTTCCATAAATGGCCATCAATATGCTTGCAAGCATGGAGCTAAGTTTTCAGGTGAGTATCTTTACGAGTTGAGGTTTTTCCTTGTTTTTTCTTTTTTTTTCTTCTTTTTTTTTTTTTTTTTCTGGAAACTTTGAGTTACCACCTTCTGGGGCCTAATTTATCTACTTTGCCTTGGCACTTGTTAAAGAAAAGTAACTTCTGGAAGTTGTTGTATTAGGCAATACCTAAAGTGTAATTTTACTTTGTGTACATTGACTCATCAAAATTCTTTTGGAAATTAAAATATAGAAGGCAAGACAGATCTCATTGGCTGTCACACGTGCAGTTCCTGTACAGGTGAGCTCCACAAGTCAGCGCAGATGTTAGCGCTGGCCTAATCGGAATGAGCTGCGTGTCGACTTATCCCTGAAGTCTGCAGTAGAAGCATGTTGTCTTCTGAGCTACTTATTACTTCTCTCTCTTCCCGCATGGCCCATTGCTTTGTGTCTGATTACCTCAGAAAGTCATCTTGGTAGCAGCTGAAACTACACAGCCCACACCTTTCATTAGCGTTTCCACCCTCCTGGAAACATAAAAACGCACTGAGCACATGGGCTTCGCCTCTAGAATTCCTCGTTTCTGTGCCAGCCCTCTCACCTCTGCAGGAGAAGCTCCAGGCATTGGTCATGTCCCAGGAAGCTAATCCTTTTTAATAGCTTCTATGAAGCTGAGCCTTCATTGGAGATTTCTGGATGGAACTGCAAATGTTCTTTACGTCTGTGTGGGGTTTTTTTGTTTCCCGCCACGTGAGATCCCTGGGAATTGAGAAGTTTTAAAGGAACTTAAAAGTATGAAAAACGCATCCATTCCAGACCATAGATCTTGAGTTTACTTTTTCCATGACCCGGGGCTCAAATGTGTGGTACCATCACAAGAATTGTTTCTAATTCATTAAATTGCCAAGACAGAGCATGGTAGGGGAATCTTCTGAATAAAACGAACAATCCTGAGTTGTTTACTCCATACATTTAATTGTTTTAAAAAACGAAAATCTTCTCTGGAAATTTCCTGTTGGTGTTCCTGTTTCTTGAGTCGCCCCACTAGATTGGGTGCCTCACTCTCATCCTCTGATTTTGTGAAGGGTCACGGGTTGTTCTTTTAAATTTATTTAACTATTTATTTTTTTTAGACGAGTGTTGCTCTGTCTTCCACGCTGGAGTGCAGTGGCGCGATCTCAGCTCACTGCAGCCTCCGAAAGTCCTGGGATTCGCGGTGTGAGTCCCTGCGCCTGGCTGGATTTTGTTAATTTCATCTCTATGCCTGCTCATGTTGGACCTGACAGAATCCTATCCCAGTCTAGTTTTAACATTTGTTTCTCATCTCACCCATGTATATTCTTTTTTTTTTTTGGAAAAATTGTTTTACCCAAGGGAAGACTGGCAGTTCAGCTAGGTGCTACTGGGCTCTGTATGGTGGCTGGTGTTTCTGTGGGACAGGGAGGACAACAGGAAGGAAAATAAACACAATAAGTCCAAGCGTCATTCCACTGGGTTTCGATACTGGCTTTGCAGCCAGTCTTCCATTTCTGACCTGTGCCATCCATCTGTGATGAAGCAGGACACCAGCGCATCTTCCTCATGTTCCAGAATCCCAACTCTTGAAAACCTCTTTCTTTGTTGTTAAAGTGTTGTGAAGTGTTAGTGCCTGGACATTTTTTTTTCTAGGAAAAATGATTACTTCCTAGTAAAAAAAGAAAAGAAACGGAAAATCGTTCTTTATCTGGTTCCATTGCAGGAGTTCAGTGGCAAGGTTGAATCTCCCCACACACACCTCCCCTTCCTTTTGAATATTTTTTCTTTTTTTATGCACGATAACAGATTTCTAAGGGAAAAGAGTAGAGGGAGGAAAAAAGACACCGTGACCTTGAAAAGTGTCCAGTTTCTATGTGTTTTGTGGCATAAATCTATTTTGTAACTTTATGTGTATGTGCCATCATGTCTTTTAAGCGATTTGTAATCGTTTCAGAAGTAGTTTTAACAAAGCCACAATCTGCAGTTGTATTATAATTTCAGAACAAAAACTATTATTTTTGCCATCTGTAGAGCATAAAATTGTGCCTATATTTCAAAAATAATCGATTGTGGTTTCCATTTGCAGAAAGTTTAATTTTAGAAGGTGAATCTCTGGCTTATATGTAGTCAAAGAATGGGAAGTTCTTTGGTTGATGTTATTCCAGCATGAAAAGGCATCAGTTAGCCCTTGGGTCTGTTAGAAGTCCATCTATTTATAGGTATCTATCCTATAGGATCCTGGCTTTTTACATCCAGTAATGAGCCAAAGAGGTAACAGTTGCTGATAAACACACCTCAGTGTTTGCCGTTGTGTGCACTGATGACCTTATCTACAAGGCAGACCTTATCTGCAAGGCAGGACTTTGACTCGTGTTATTTCAAGGCAGATAGAACAATAATAAATATTGAGCAAAGAAAGCTAATTTGTATTTGTTATACTTTCATACAGAAAATGTTTTTCAAAATCAATATAAGCCAATTGGCTTTTGCCAGATTTCTTTCATTGCAATGATTAAAAATAACTCAGGTCTAGACTTCCGTTATACTGCAACTCTATTTCCTCTCTTTGCCTGGATGAGATCTGAAAATACCATTTATGAAATACTTTTCAATTGATTTTAGAAAAACGATGCTCAGAGATGTGGGAAGATCAGCAGATAAGTCCAGAAATCTTCACATTCAGTAAATTCCTTCTGCTTACAGAGCGGAGATACAAGTTTAACTCAATTTTTTTTTTTTTTTTTTTTTTTGGTGGAGAAAGGAGATTCTTGACAGGAACATTTTGAGTTTATGTATTGCTAATTGCAGAGCATATTTCCAATGAAAATAGTGACAAAAACTTTATGTTGCCTCCCCTTATATTTATCTAGGATTCTGCTGAATCTGTTATTGTCAAACACTTATATTAACTTGAAAGTTACATGCCATGGTGTTCTATTGTGAGTGCTTTACCATCTATCTTCAAGATGTTGCCAGGCAAGTGTTTTGGACACAGGGTTGTTTCAGGAAAAAATACTCCGAGCCTCCACTACACTCAAGTAACAGCAATTCCAGCTTTCCAGGGAAATTATAATTCAGCAAAAGGAATAGTTTAGGGCTCTGAACTGCAACTTCTAATTTCAGTGGTTGCCATTAGCCTTTTTTTTTCATTAAAGTTAATGTCTTTTTTAACTGGTAGAGAAGAGGTTTTTGAAACTCTCTCTTAAAGGTTTACTATTTTAAGGGCATTTGGAATACCACGCATATCCACTTGCATGGTGAAGTGGGGAGGAGAGGCAAGATTTCTGGAGGATTGAGATGCTTCCTGTAGTTAAATACAAAATGCGATGATAAGGACAAAACCAACGCCACATCAAGCCTTGTGTGTACCCACCACCTTCTTTATTTTTTTTTTTTTTTTAATTTTTGAGGCAGAGTCTCACTCTGTCACTTAGTCTGGAGTGCAATGGCGCAATCTTGGCTCACTGCAACCTCCGCCTCCCGGGTTCAAGTGATTCTCCTGCCGCAGCCTCCCAAGTAGCTGGGACTACAGGTGCCCGCCACCACACCTGGCTACTTTTTGTATTTTTAGTAGAGACAGGGTTTTACCATTTTGCCCAGACTGGTCTTGACCTCCTGACCTCAAATGATTTGCCTGCCCCAGCCTCCCAAAGTGCTGGGATTATATGGGTGAGCCACTGTGCCTGGTCATGCCACCCACCTTTTGCCTGGCTGCTGCCTCTGCCAAACCTTTCCAGGCTTGGGGAGGGCCAGTCTCCTTCCTGTTGATCAACTCGCCCTTGGCAGGGCTGCTTCACCCTTGACTTGTGTCCCAAAATGTAAAACTAACATGGGGACAACGTCCAACGTGGACCAGCATACCCCATGCAGTGTCGAGGGCTCCCTGGTACCCTAAAGACCACACTGTATCCCTACACTGAGAAAGGACAGGGGTGTGACTTCTGTGACCTCCAGGGATCTAGCTAGTTCAGTCACTTCATGCGTTGATCAGGCTTATGTCACATGACAAAAAGACATCCATTTTTGGACTCTTTCACCAAAATGACAGCCCATTTTTGATCACTTGAGAGAAAGCAGCCTTGGCATGGACTTGCTCCACCAGCCGTTCCAGAGAGGGTCTCACTCTGCTCCTGCCTCCACCTTTCCATCTAAACGTCATCTTAAAAATATTCCTGCCACTGTTTCAAAATGAACTGGAGAAATGGATGGTATTTCTAGTAGTTTTGTGACATTCTGCCAGAAAACATGGCAAGGAATAGTAAGTTGATATCTTGGTACAAATACCCAAATCAGTCATACAAGGGCCGCCTTTTCCTTGGTGCCAGGGAGGCCTTTGGGGAGGCCCTTACCAGACGCTTTCCATCCGGCTGTCCTCCCTTGCCTGGAAGGATCTGCCTCCTAGGGCCTGTCTTTGGTTTCCTAACATATTGGCAGCTCCTCCTTCTCCTCCTACTCCTTTCTTCATCTTTCCTGGGGGTGGTGGAAGTACTCTTCGCCTCAGGGTTGCATAAGTCATACTGTGCTTCCGCAGGCTTCCACCTCCACGCTGCGGCAGGAGCTGCTTCAGCTGGGCCAGCACTGGCATGCTCTCTGGCTGAACCTCAGTAATGTCTCCACTAACACAGCAAGTGTAACATTGCAAAATTGCATTAGGCCTCATTTAAGAGACTCTTTTTGTGTGTGCTTCTTACCTGATAGAGGCTGTATTTTTAATGGCAAAACCTATTAAAAGCAGAAGTAACGCTTTGCTCTTAGAGAGTGGTAAGTCTGTGAGCAGGTGTGTAGATGATTCTCAGTGATGTTTTCCAGGATGGCTTTTTTTGTTAATGACCTTCATTTTATTTCTAAAAAGCAGTTGTCATGCACTCTCCAATGTACTTCTCTTTTCTTTCTCCCCTCCTTTCAAAAGCCGCATGCTAAGGGTAAGATCTACGTCCAGAGTCAAGGTAAGCATTTTCGAATATTTATTTACCTATGTACAGGGATAGAGAATGAATAAATAGATGTATATTTATATGTGATAAATATATATATTTAAAAGAATACGTTTGCACCCTTAAGAGACATATATTGAGATGTTTATGAAGGAGATAATATGATTTCTGAGATTTACTTAAAAATAATCAGTGAAATGGCTACTTTTTTTTTTTTTTTCTTTTTTGAGACAAGGTCTGGTGCAGTCGTGCGATCTCGGCTTACTGCAACCTCTGCCTCCTGGGTTCAAGCGATTCTCTAGCCTCAGCCCCCCAAGTAGCTGGGATTACAGGCGTGAGCCACCATGCCCAGCTAAATTTTTTTTGTATTCTTTGTAGAAACGGGGTTTCACCATGTTGCCAGATTGGTCTTGAACTCCTGGGCTCAAGCAGTCTGCCTGAGAATGGCTACATTGTTATGATTTTTCTAACATTAGAATAAAAGATAAACAGGAGAAATTATAAAATAATGATTTAAAATGCAGATCACTTAACATTTTCCACCAGTAGAAGTACGATATACTCCATCGGCAGTATGTTTGGAAAAAACAAACCAAACCAAATGCAGGGCTTCTGTTTCGGCTGACTTGAGTTGGGGGACCTGGAACTCTTCTCCCTTCATCCTCCCCCTTCCTCCCTGCCCAGTCCTACCCCTATGGTGGCATCCGAAGCCCTTCATCAAACCCTCTGAGGTTTAAACACAGTTTTTTGTTTTTGTTTTTGTTTTTTTTGAGATGGAGTCTCATTCTGTTGCCCAGGCTGGAGTGCAGTGGCGCAATCTTGGTTCACTTCAACCTCTGCCTCCTGGGTTCAAGCAACTGTCCTGCCTCAGCCTCCCGAGTAGCTGGGACTACAGGTGCCCCCCAGCACGCCCAGCTAATTTTTGTACATTTTGTAGAGACAGGGTTTTACCGTGTTGGCCAGGCTGATCTGGAACTCCTGACCTCAGGTGATGCGCCTGCCTCGGCCTCCCGAATTGCTGGGATTCCAGGTGTGAGCCACTGTGCCTGGCCTCTCTAAACAGAGTCTGTAAACCACTGTACTACACGATAGAAATAATGGAAGGCCTAGATCCATGGAAGAACGTGTAATTCGCCCCAAGCCCAGGTTAGAACGAGTGCAGACGCTGAGGCCAGGCGTTCGTGCCTCCCGAGGACTTCCATGGTGCTCAGGCGCACCTTAGTGAGGCATGCCATCCTGTCGTCACCGTGTCCTTGCTGCACTGGCCTCAGTGACATTTTTAGCAGGTGCAGCAGGAAAGACCGGGGCTCTGAGGCAGTGCGTAGGTTTGAACACAGCATCTCCCACCTCCACCCTGCGCATTTTGAAGCCCGTTTAACCTCTTGGAACCTCAGTGTCCAGCTGGATAAACTGGAGGAACCAGTCTGCTCAGTGGGCCTTTAAGGGCTACAGTGGGGTATGGAAAGTGCCTACATGCAGTCGGAGCCCAGGGCTGGCTTGAAGCGGACGCTCGTCAAATAGCCGTTGTCAGTATCATTCAGTGTGAATAATGATTATGCAGGTGGATTTTAGAGGTGGTTAGATGACTTGATTTACTTACGTTTTATAAAATTTCAAAATGTTTCTGTTACCAAGATAACGTGTTAGATATTACCTCTGGATTTTCTAAATTGTAAAATATTTGGTTTTTTTCAGCAAAAATTAAATGTAACTTCTCTCTGAGAAAGTAATAGCCAACAGACCATCAGGCATGAGTTGGTGAGGGTTGAGAGTGAGGATTTTAAAGGGAGGTATAATTTTCACATGGAGCTTAGTTGACAGTGTGTTTGAAACCTGTCACTTCCTGGCGTTTTTAAGGAACTCATGGTTTATCTAACCCAGTTTGGGCCTGTCATGGATCCTGGGGCTGAAAGGGGTGGGTCTTTTCTCATGTGGAATCCATGGGGTCTTTTTAACCCTCCCATGCTGAAGGATTCATGGGACTTCAGTGTCGCACTCAGAGCATCGAGTGGCTTTATAAAAACCAGCTGGTACCATTATTTAAACTTTAACACAAGTGGGCCGTGCATGGTGGCTTACACCTGTAATCCCAGCACTTTGGGAGGCTGAGGCGGGTGGACCACTTGAGGTCAGGGGTTCGAGACCAGCCTGGCCAACATGACGAAACCCTGTCTCTACTGAAAATACAAAAACTAGCCGGGTGTGGCAGCGGGTGCCTATAATCCCAGCTACTCCGGAGGCTGAGGCAGGAGAATCGCTTCAACCTGGGAGGAGGAGGTTGCAGTGAGCTGACACTGTGGCACTGCACTGCAGCCTGGGCGACAGAGCAAGACTCCATCTCAAAATGATAATAATAATAGTAATAATAATAATTAGCCTCAACACAAAATAACTGGTTGCATTTCAGCAATCGCATCAAAGTGAATTTGCCCTTTTTTTATTTCTTTGACCCAGGAATTGCAACAACACCAAACGCCGCTTTTAACTGGAATACCTTTCTTCAACGCTCCGGTGAGATATGAGATCTTCTTAGAGGATTTTGAGGAAGTGCATCTTGTCAGTTACTTTCAGGAGCTTGTGACGTTCGTGTGGTTTTGAAAAAGTGGTTGTCCGGGAGAACAAGGTTTATTTCCCTCTGTCTATGACTTCATGAGTAGTTTTACCCTTTGAGGAACAGCAGGGCTAGAAAGCCAGAGAGACAGGGGCTCTGGCCCTTTCTGATGCTGTTTTTAGCACCTGCTTCCCAAATTTTCAGTACCATTTCCTGTGACATTTGTTCTTTATAAGAATAACAACCTCATGTGTTCATTTTATTTTACTTTACTAATTACACACATAATTAAATTACCCTTGTAGAAAAATGAGAAAATACCAGAATATGCAACACTTTTTTTGTTTTGTTTTTCTTTTTGAGACGGAGTCTCGTTCTGTTGCCCAGGCTGGAGTGCATTGGTGTGATCTAGACCCACTGCAGCCTCTACCTCCTGGGTTCAAGCGATTCTCCTGCCTCAGCCTCCTAAGAAGCTGGGACTACAGGCGTGCGCCACCACGCCCAGCTAATTTTTGTATTTTTAATGGAGACGGGGTTTTGCCGTATTGGCCAGGCTGGTCTCGAACTCCTGATCAGGTGATCCACCCACCTCGGCCTCCCAAAGTGCTGGGATTATAGGCATGAGCCACCGGGCCTGGCCAAAAAATGCAACAAAAATTTAAATCACTTGAAATTTCATCACCAAAAAGGAACTGCTATTAATGTTTGATGTGATCTTTCTCAACAATTTACATGTAAATAATGATTTTTAAAAGACAAAATCAAGCTTCACTTACTACTCTAACCTGCCTTCTTTGCTCATTATGTCAGTAGAATAGAGTGAACTCATCCTTTTTTTAAAAAAAATCTGAAGTTTCTATATAGTGAAATGAAGAGATCTCAAGTACAAAATTAGGTAAATGTTTGACAAATGTATATACCCATGTGACAAATACCCTAATCAAGACAGGTAACATTTCCACCAGGCAAGAAAGTGCTCTCATGCTGTCTTCCATCTTTAATTTCTGTCTCTTTATAGGCGACTCCTAGTCTAGTTTTTCTTATCTTAGATTAGTTTTACCTGTTCTTGAACTTCATCTAAGTGGAGTCCTGCATTAAATAATTTTTTGTATCTGGCTTTCTTTGTTCAACTAGTGTTTTTGAGATTTATCCCTATTGTGTGTATCTGTAGTCCTTTTCTTCCTAATATTCTATTTTGCAATGGTGTATTCCATTCCATATATCACAAATTGTTTGCCTCTTCTTCTATTGATGAACTTTTAGCTTGTTTGCCATTTTTAACCATTACAAATACATTTACTATGAATATGCTTGTGCCAGGTTTTTTGGTGACCTACGTTTTCACTTCTCTTGGATAAATGCCTCTAAGTCAAATAGCTTGACTATATGATTAACATTATAAAAAAAAATCCAAACAGTTCTCCAAGGTGTGCCATCTTACGCTTCAGCAGAACCTGGCAAGAGCTTCAGTTACTCCACGTTCTCGCCCACCGGTAGAGTAGACAGTCTTTTCAATTTTAGTTGTTCTAGGGAGATAATGAAATGGTGTCTCATTGTCATTCTTCTGAGTTTCATTTCCCCGATGATTAATTTTGTTCAGCACCTTTTTATGTGCACGTTGGCCATTCATGTATCTTGTTTGGTGAGTGTCTAGCCAATTGTATGTGTGTCTTTTAATTATTGGTTTGTAGAACTTCCTTATATTCTAGGTCCAAACCTTTTGTCAGATAAATATATCGTTAATATTTTCTCCCATTCTCTGGCTTATATTTTCTCCTGCTTAACCATGTCTTTTGAAGAATAGAAGAGGTTTAAATTTTATTGAAGTCTAGTTTACCAGACTTTTTCTTTGATGGTTAGTGCTTTTGAGTCCTATCTAGAAAATCTTGACCTACCCTAAGGTCACAAAGATGCTTTTCTTTCTTTTTTAAATGTCTTTAGAAGCTTGAGTGCTGTAGCTCTTTCATTTAGGATTACAAATCCATCTGAAATTACTATTTGTGTGTTATATGAGGTAGGAATCTTTTTTTTTTTCTTTCTTGCTTAACAATATCCAGATGGTTCTGGCGTCATTTATTGGAAATGTTTTTCTTTGCCCATTGAATTGCTCTGGTGCCTTCGTTGAAAGTCAGTTTACTCTATGTGGTGTTCCACTATCTATGCCTGTCTTTATTCCAATACCATGCTGTTTTGTTGCTATAGGTTAATAGTAAGTCTAGAAACCAAGTAGTGTTAGTCAATAACTTTGTTTCAAAATTATTTTAGCTATCCTAGGTTTTTTGCATATCAATTTAAATTTTGGGCTCAACTTGTCAATTTCTGTAAAATCCTATTACATTGAACCTCCACCTCCCAGGTTCAAGCGATTCTCCTGCCTCAGCCTCCCGAGTAGCTGGGATTACAGGCATGCCCCATCACACGCGGCTAATTTTCTGTAATTTTTGGAGAGGGGGGGTTTCACCGTGTTGGTTGGCCAGGCTGGTCTTGAACTCCTGACCTCAAGTAATCCATCTGCCTCAGCTTCCCAAAGTGCTGGGATTACAGGTATGAGCCACCTCGCCTGGCCTCATGCTGCAAACTTCTAAGAAAAGACTGAAGATGCAAAATCAGTTCTCTGCCCTCAGCCTACAGAAAGACGCCCCAAGTCTGTTTTCATGTTAAAGACTTGAAACAAGAAGACATACATGCAGCCAAAAAACATGTGAAAAAAGCTCGTCATCCACTGATCATGAGAGAAATGCAAATCAGAACCACAATGAGAACATCACACGTCGGTCAGATGGCGATTATTAAGAAGCCACGAAACAACAGATGCTGGCGAGCTTGTGGAGAAATAAGAATGCTTTTACCCTGTTGGTGGGAATGTAAATTAGTTCAACCATTTTGGAAGACAATGTGGCAATTCCACAAAGATACCATTTGACCCAGCAATCCCATTACTGGGTATATACCCAAAGGAATATAATCATTCTGTTATAAAGATACATGCACATGTATGTTCACTGCAGCACTATTCACAATAGCAAAGACATGGAATCAACTCAAATGCCCATCAGTGATAGACTGGATAAAGAAAATGTGGTACATAGACACCATGGAATACTATGCAGCCATAAAAATGAACAAGATCATGTCCTTTGCAGAAACATGGATGAAGCTGGAAGCCATTATCCTCAGCACACTAAGGCAGGAACAGAAAACCAAACACCGCATGTTCTCACTTATAAGCAGGAGCTGAACAGTGAGAACACATGGACACAGGGAGGGGAACAACACACACTGGTGCCTGTCAGGGGAGGGTAGAGGTGGGGGCGTCGGGAGAGCATCAGGAAAACTAGCTAATGCATGCGGGGCTTGATACCTAGGTGATAGGATGATAGATGCAGCAAACCACCATGGCACACGTTTACCTATGCAGTAAACCTGGACATCCTGCACATGTATCCCGGAACTTAAAATAAAATAAAATGAAACAAAAAAGACTTGAAACAAAGCCTCTACCACATACTCTATGTGTCAGTTTTAAGTTCTATTGAAAAGAAAAATTTCCAAGCATTTTATCAGAAATGATTTTCATAGTATACTCATCAATCTCAGCCACACTAGCATGGTTGTTCTCAGTGTTACAGATGAACCCACGCGACCTCAGCTGCTTTGTCATGTCAGTTACATGTACCATTATTCAGAATGAGGGGGCCCATTTTCAATTTCCTGTTGTAAAGCCAGTCTGTCTTCAATCTATGACAGGACGCAATGGCATTGTAACTAAGATTCATAATTTCCAGTAGGAGAATGATTTGTCGTCACGTTCTGTAGTCTCAGGGTTGACTGTTTCGTTGGTCTTGCTATTGAATGATTAAGGGAACAGCCAGGAGATTTTAAACACTCCTTAGAAAGCGTTTTGCTCTGGAGACCTACTTGGCTGCTGCTTAATCTTAATGTGTGCAATTAGAAGTTGTAAATGGATTCAGAATATATTGGCTTAGAGAGACTGGTTGTGGCTCTGGTAGCTGACAGTGGCAGATAATGGCTTAAGGGTAGATGTAGGATTAATCTGTGTCTCTGGGTTTTATGATCAGGCGTCTGTTCGCATTTGTGCCGTCGTTTGTCTTTGTCATCTCTCAGGCTCTGGGGATGGGCCGTCCTCATCATCCTTACTTTATCTTCCCTTGGCCTCTGGAGCATTGGAAACCTGTGACTATGATCCGTCCCTCCCACTTGGAGCTGCAGACAGTGAAAACAGAAGATAGAGTGAAGTTGGTAGAGACTATTAGTGATCAAATACCCTCTGCCTTCTCACCAACTATTAACCTTGAAATCAGGGGGAGTGGGTGGGAAGGGCCTCATTTAACACTGCATGTAAACAGTTGAGTCATTGAGTAGTCACCCGGGTTTGTAGTGTGCTTCTTAAATGTCTGATGTCCGCGTCACGATGCATTCTCCTCTTCCGGCATGTCACAGGTTTTCTGACCATTCTCAATTCTATCTCTAAGCCCCAGCTAACAAATTACTAAGTCTCCTTAATTTAAAACATTAAACCCCTCTTATGCTTACCATTATATCACATACAAACAGATGAACTACGAACAAATAAATAGTAAAGCAGGTTAAATGCAGTAAATGGCATTGTTATAATTTTTTCACACGATATTGGCAATAGCTATTCTGATTGAAAGATCGATGTGTAGACATCAAATTAGTTACCTGGTCTTTGAGTTTTTCTGTGCATTTCCAGATACATTTTAAGTGCGATGATTCCATGTTCTGTGAGTTTTGCCTTTAAATTCCAACGACCAACACAATCTAAAGTCATGATTCCTTTCAGGCTATCAAACCTAAAATGTATGAAAGCTTAAATTTGACTGGGTAACTCCTTCCTGTTTTTCTGATTTCTGTTTTATTGTATTTCTAGTTTTATTGCTCATTGCTGTCTCTCTGTCTCTCTTTCTCTCTCTCTCTCTCTCTCTCTCCATCTCTATCTCTATCTCTCTGTCAACTCTATTTGTATTTCTATAATGGAAACTCAAATTTGCCTAACTCAGATTGTAGCACTTTTCTTCCTCAGGCTAGTCCTAGGGAGACTCACTTGTTTTTCATTTGGAAAACTGGTGTTAGTAGAAGCCTTTATTCTTGCACAGCCCCCCAAATCAGCTTTTTCAGCTATAATTTAGTAAGTCTAATGTGTTCAACTGAAGTACTTTTTTTTTTTTTGTAATAACAAGTGAAAAATAATGAAGACAGTGGCTGGGCGTGGTGGCTCACACCTGTAATCCCAGCACTTTGGGAGGCCGAGGCGGCGGATCGCTTGTGGTCAGGGGTTCAAGACCAGCCTGACCAACATGGTGAAACCCTGTCTCTACTAAAAAAAAATTAGCTGGATGTGGTGGTGCGCCTGTAATCCCAGCTACCTGGGAGGCTGAGACAGGAGAATTGCTTGAACCTGGGAGGCGGAGGTTGCAGTGAGCCAAGATCGCGTCATTGCACTCCAGCCTAGACAGCAAAAGTGAAACTTTATCAAGAAAGAAAGAAAAAAGAAAATAATAAAGACAGCTTCTAGAATGGAATACAGGACAGAGACCGCCTCAGCATGGATTGGGCTTCTGTTCCTGAGCCCGCCCGTGACTCATACTTGGGAGATGAAGCAACGTGGAATGTAGCTGTTGGCAGCAATATGCCAGATCGTGAAAACAACACATTTTGTTTTGAAGATAAAAATACCATTCTCCAGGAAATGGTTCTATCGGGAAAACATGTAAATGTGTGCATTTGTTAAGTGACGAGTTCAAATTTTGACTCATGGGTAAACTAGACATTAGAGGAAAGGCAAAGGTAATAAAAATAAGTTTGGCGTTAAAAGGAGGAGACAAAATTTACTAAAAAAATTAGTTAGGTATGTGCCTTGCCTCTGAGCATCAGCAGGCCAACCTTATCTAATAGTTCTTCGTTAAAAGCTAAGAAATTATACCACCTTAAAGCTGTCAGGGGCTTTAGGGAGCCTGAAATGTAATTCATCAGAGTAGATGCTTACGTGCGATGAGCCTGAGCCCTTGAACACTTGATCAGGATTTTTCCTCTATAATCTTTGTTTTCAGTGAATGAGATTTTAGTATGTGGAAAGTACACATAAGCTACGCAAATCCAAATGCTATCTCTGCCTTTTAGTTTTTCTGTTTTTTTAAACCTAAAGACAAGGCTATAGCCCTTTATTCTATCATTTTCTAATTTATTTTCCTATATTCCCATTACACTTAATCTCCAACCCGGGAAGAAGACGAGGAGAGAGGAAAGGAATATAGGATTCCCTCCATCTCCCTGCAGTGTCTCGCAGGTCAGGGGTCTCATAATGAATTGAGTACGTTAGGGACCAGCACTTTTAAACATTGAAGTGAAATCAAATAGAAAACATCAAAGTGGCTTGCATGTAGTCAGCCTAAAGTATGCTTTTAATCATATATAAACTCTGTGTCTATGTATGTGTATGTGTGTATTTATGTATCTCGTGTGACTAAGTTGCAACATAATATGTTTATCTTACTGTATGTCATAGTCAAAAAACTCTGAAAATCAATATTTTACCTTATGGATTATTCTCTTCTCAGGGCCATCTTTCCAAGGGATCCCAGGACAGGGGTAGTTGGAGGGCCACTTCTTTACAGCCTATGTGACCAAAATGCCAATGCGTCTTCAGAGCCTCGAGTTCTCAGTAGCTAAGTGTGTCAGAGTACAGGAACAAAATAGGTTTCCATCACTCATACTTCTCACACAGCAAAAACAAAGAATTAAACAGAGTCTCTTCACCTTGACGTCACCTGCATTCTTCACACAGTGCTTTGAATACCATCTCTGGATGCCATCTTTGTAGATCGTTGGTTTGTTTGGCATCTCCTTTTTTTTCCCAATTCGGTCATACCGATTCTCGACTTTCCCCCTCTTTTTGGTACATTTGTGATTCTTCTTGTTCCTTCCTTCTCTCCCTCCTCCTGCTGCTGTGTGTGTGAATAGATATTCGTGCACATCAAGAATGTGATGGAAGTGACGTTACTTCTTCTCAGTGTATCACATCTGGATATGTACAGCATCAGCTTGTCCCAATAACGGAGCTCTTTTTCTGACTATGTAAACTCTGTGTGTGTGTGTGTGTGTGTGTGTATACACCAGCCATGTGTGCTGGGCTAAGGCTTCCTCCCTTAGTTAAGCTGGTATCCCCTGGTTTCTCCGTGTACTGTGCTGGTATTATATTTCCTTTGTAATTAATAAGTAATTTTTGAGAGGGTGCTCTTAATCTCTATCCTCATCAAACTTTCACTTGTAAATTTTAGCCTTCATTAGTGGCTCTTGCCTAGCAATGTAGGCTCAGACTGTTTCTCCTTCCTGACATCACAATCTTGAAAAATTTTCTCCATTTTTAAAAATCATTTATTAAAATGAATAGCTTGACAACCTCATATTCAAATGCCTAACCTCAAATTCTTCTGACCTCCAATTCAAAATTCTGCCTGTAGCGTCTAGCTTAGACTTTTGGTCAAACAAGGACTCACTAAGGTTTGCATTCCTAAAGTTAGCTTCAGGATACTTAGAATATTAAGGAAAGGTCCAGGTGTGGTGGCTCATGCCTGTAATCCCAGTGCTTTGGGAGGATGAGGCCAGTGGATCACCTGAGGTCAGGAGTTTGAGTCCAGCCTGGACAACATGGTGAAACCTCATCTCTCCCAAAAATACCAGAAAGAGCCGGGCATGGTGACCTGCGCCTGTAGTCTCAGCTACTCGGGAAGCTGAGGCAGGAGAATCGCTTGAACCCAGGAGGCAGAGGTTGCAGTGAGCAGAGAACGTACCACTGCACTCCAGCCTGGGCTACAGGCTGAGACTCCATCTCAAAAAAAAAGAAAAACAAACAAAAAAAGGGTCTTAGGGAAATATTAAAAACTCAACATATTTCAATGAAAATTGGCAATGCAGATTGTCAGCGGCTTATTCAGAAGCTGTGACCATTTTCCAAGGCTTTTCTAAGAGCGACATCTCGATCTTAACATTTCAGTAAAGATTTTCTCCAGTTACGTATTAATTTTTTGAAGCTCTTGTGATTGTATTGGTGTCACCATAAGTCATTGTATTCACACTAGTTGTATTCCTGTTCAGGATTTGGAATAGCATAGAGAAAATGAAAGTGTTTGAATTAAATAATGGACAAATGCCTGTCCTGGGGAAAAAACCTTGAACCTGCATGAATTTATGGCCAATTACACAGGTTATAAATGCTGAAGTTTTAGGTCCGCTTGTGTTAAATATATTAGCAATTTCTATTGCATGTGTCATGTACTGAGCTGTAAGAAGCCACCTCAGGATGTACCACCTGCTCCCATTTGTTGTGTGGTGAGGGGTATGGATCTTCTAATGCCTCCAAAGCCCTTTGCTAATAAGGCTTAGCTTTTTCCTGTATCTGCAGATATGTTGGTCTGGATCCCTCACTTTTCTTTTCTTTTCTTTTTTTTGAGATGGAGTCTCACTCTGTCACCCAGGCTGGGAGTGCAGTGGCACCACCTCCACTCGCTGGAACCTCCGCCTCCTGGGTTCGAGCGATTCTCCTGCCTCAGCCTCCCCAGTAGCTGGGATTACAGGTGCGCGGCACCACACCTGGCTAATTTTTGTATTTTTAGTAGAGACAGGGTTTCACCACATTGGTCAGGCTGGTCTCGAACTCCCGACCTCAGGTGATCCTCCCGCCCGGCTTCCCACAATGTTGGGATTCCAGGCACGAGCCACTGCGCCCGGCCAGGATCCCTCACTTTAGAGAGCAGATGCAATACAGGAAATTTGCACTATGAAGCAAATGTGTCTAAATTTACGCCTCTTTTTCAGAAACTTTAATTACAAAATTAAACATATTTTCTCATAAAAAAAAAAATGTACCAGCTGAAAGCAGCACCCCTGCATTTCTCCTGATCTTGGGGTTTGGCCCTGTGAGGGCTGCTTCATATGTGTCTTCTGGGCTCACCTGGACTTTTACAGAGGGCTGAACCCTCACTGGGTCCTGCATGAGCTCATAATGTGTTCAGGGACTCATGCAGCCGGGAGTCTCCAGACTAAAGCCTCATTCTTGGCCTGGAGCAGTGGCTCACGCTTGTAATCCCAACACTTTGGGAGGCCAAGTTTGGCGGATCACTTGAGGTCAGGAGTTGGACATCAGCCTGACCAACATGGCGAAACCCCATCTCTACTAAAAATACAAAAATTAGCTGGGCATGGTGGTATGTGCCTGTAATCCCAGCTACTTGGGAGGCTGAGGGATGAGAACTGCTTGAACCGGGGAGGTGGAGGTTGCATTGAGCCGAGATCGTGCTACTGCACTCCAGCCTAGTTGACAGAGTGAGACTTGACCTCAGGTGATCTGCCCACCTTGGGTTCCCAGAGTGCTGGAATTACAGGCGTAAGCCACCACGCCCCGCCCCTACTCTTACATTTATATTAATTTCCTTGCTGTAAACTAATTATTTCTGGTGAGGAAAATGGAGCCGAGCTCAGGCTGTAAAATGCAACTTCACCTCTGCTGCAAGGAAAAAGGATGAGGCAAGGGGGAACTGACTGAACTATGACTGAAATAGGAGCCAGACATTCTAGGAAAGATTTAGATATAATTCCGGATAGGAGGTAAAATGTCTTGATAAAACTAGAAAAATGGTTTATATATTAATGTCCTCATGAACTCATATATGCATAGAGAGATCCACACGCCTAAATGAATGCATGTCCTGGAATGAACCCAAATGGCCATCAATGATAGACTGGATCAAGAAAATGTGGTACATATACATCGTGGAATACTATGCAGCCATAAAAAGGAACGAGATCATGTCCTTTGCATGGACATGGATGGAGTTGGAAGCCATTATCCTCAGCAAACTAACGCAGGCAGAGAAAATTAAACACCGCATGTTCTCACTTATAAATGGGAGCTTAATGATAAGAACACATGGACACATGGGGGAAGGACACACCAGGGCCTGTCGGAGGGTTGGGGGTGGCAGGAGGGAGACCATCAGGAAGAATAGCTAATGGATGTTTGGGCTTAACACCTAAGTGATTGGATAATCTGTGTAGCAAACCACCATGGCACATTGTTAACCTATGCAATAAACATGCACATCCTGCACATGTACCCAGAACTTCAAATAAAAGTTGAAGAAAAAATAAACACATGTCCATAGGTATAAAAAGAAAATGCATACAGATATCAAACTATCACATTGTATACTTCACATACGTATAATTTTTGTCAATTATAACTCAATAAATATGGAAAAAGTAAAAAATAAAAATAAATATGTTTATATATGAACAAAAGAAAGAAGCAGCATTGTTTCCCAGGTTGGAATCTGTCACTAAGGCTACTTGTGGTGGATGGCCACAGTCTTTGCAGCCCTTCCCACCAGAAGTGGAACAGATCTCTGTACCCCAAGACCCTGGGCTGGCCTGGGACTTCCGACGGCCAATAGAGTCAGTGGCAGTGGCCATATGTGATTTCCAAGCCTGGGCCGGGGAAGACTTCGTGTTTCCCACTCTCCCCGCTGCCCCGTTCACACCAGTACCCTCTAATCTGACCCCGCAACCTCTGTTCTCATTCTTAAGAATGAGGCTTTTTGGCCAGGCATGGTGGTTCACCAGGATCACTTGAGGTCAGGAGTTCAAGACCAGCCAGGCCAAGATGGTGAAACCCCATCTCTACTAAAAATACAAAAATTAACTGGGTGTGGTGGTAGAGCTACTCAGCTACTCAGGAGGCTAAGGCAGGAGAATCACTTGAACCCGGGAGGAGGAGGTTGCAGTGAGCCGAGCTGAGATTGCGCCACTGCACTCAGCCTAGACAACAGGGCAAGACTCTGTCTCAGAAAAAAAAAAAGTAAGAGTAGGAGCAGCTGGCCTCGAAGTCAGAGGCCTCCACTTCTGAGTGTGTCCGTGATATCATTGCGGCTACAGCATCCAGACCCTCCCCACTGAAAACATTCTGAACTCTTCTCTTACAGAGATTAACCACAGTGCTGATAATTTGCACATATTTCTTCTGATATGTGGACTTCGACAAGTTAAGGATCCTCTCTATCTGGTGGATGCATTTTCAGGTGTGTTTGCGGGCTGCCTTCCTCCACTGTGTATGGAATTCCGTGTGGGCGCCCATCTCAGCATTTCTGTCTTCAGGGCCCTGAGATTTCTTTCCTCATTCTTTGCACATGAGCAGAACTGTTTCTAGATTGTTACTTTGGAAAAGAACAGAAAAATAATGTATGGGATCAGCAGCTCTTCGGAGGAATTTCCGTTTAGTTTTCCACTGTCCTGTGCCCTCAGGTTCTGAGAAATTCATAAAAAGAGCAAATAATTATAAGACTAAAAGAATTTTACCTGAAAATATTTCACACATGCCGATTTGTGTGATGCATTTGGAGTTTTGTTTATTGTTTAAGATCATCTATATAGTCTTCAGTATATTCCAAAGCCACGTTGAATTGTGGTGATATTGGAGAGTAGTCCTAGTTAATTCAGTAAATCTGAAATCTGGTCAATGGATAATACTGTACAAAAAAATTCTACTTAAAATCATAAAATGTCAAATACAGAAATTCTAAAGAAATGTAATTTAAATTGACTAATACTATGAATGAAAGCCAAATGATATGAACTAATTTATATTATTGAGAAATTTATATCGAAGTTAATTGTGCTTGCAGCTGTGACATAAAACCATTTTAAGTGTTCGTTTTGTCTTCTTTTTTCTTCCCAAGAATGGCATCAGGAGGAGCCCAGTGTGTACCTGGTGATTGCAGGTCCTGAAGTAAGTTGATGTGCTGTAAACATTTATCTCATCTGTTTTCCTCTTTATATTTTTCATGTGTTTTCTACAATTAGTTTACATTACTCTTCTTCTTTTTTTTTTTTTTTTCTTTTTTTGAGGCGGAGTCTCGCTCTGTCGCCCAGGCTGGAATGCAGTGGCCGGATCTCGGCTCACTGCCTCCTGGGTTCACACCATTCTCCTGCCTCAGCCTCCCAAGTAGCTGGGACTACAGGCGCTGCCACCACGCCTGGCTAACTTTTTGTATTTTTAGTAGAGACGGGGTTTCACTGTGTTAGCCAGGATGGTCTTGATCTCCTGACCTCATGATCTGCCTGCCTCATCTTCCCCAAATGCTGGGATTACACGTGTGAGCCACCGCGTCTGGCCTACATCGCTCTTCTTACTAAGTGGGGTTTTCCTCTTTTTAAGTAAATGAAGTCAGTTTGCCTCTTAAAAAATGAAAACTAGACCAAGGTTACAGATCATTACAACGACAATGAATCTTTACGATTAATTTATTGCTACAAAGGATAACTAATAACTTGTATGGAAATACAGAGGAGTCTGACCGGGCGCACTGGCTCATGCTTGTAATCCCAGCAACTTTGGGAGGCTGAGGCCAGTGGATCACCTGAGGGCAGGACTTTGAGATCAGCCCAGACAACATGGTGAAACCCCCGTCTCTACTAAAAATACATTTAGCCGGGCATGGTGGCGGGTGCCTGTAATCCCAGCTACTCAGGAGGCTGAGGCAGGAGAATCGCTTGAACCTGGGAGGTGGAAGCTGCAGTGAGCTAAGATCGCACCACTGTACTCCAGCCTGGGTGACAGAGCAAGACTCTGTCTCAAAAAAAAGAAAAAAGAAAAAAAGAAAAGAAATACATACGAGTCCTATAAAAAGAAAATTAAAGTTATATAAAGTGAAAATTAGTTTAATTTGCTGCATAAGACAAATATTATATATGATCCAAATTGTCTTTGAAATTTCCTTAAATTGCTCAACAAACTTGGCGCCATTCCTTCCACCTAACATCAGATGGCAGGTGACACCTTTGGGAGTCTTGTTGTGTGGAAAATGAGTATCTGTAAATCCGAGAAACACGCTTGGATGGGAGACATTCTTACCCGACCATGGTGGCTGTGACCGAGGAATGGAGCCCCCGGGAGCCACTTGCAGACGCCACCTCCCATACTGTGGGGACTCCGGGATATTCACTCATGCCTCACCAGATCAGGATCCAACACGTGCTGTGTTCCACGTCGGTCCTAATAGAAGTCCCAAGCGCTTAGGATTCGCAGAATCTGTGGCCGCGCTGGTCATCTCATGAAAATGAACTGTCTTTACTCCAAGTGGTTTGGAAAACAGAATATGCCTAGTGTTTCCAGCCAGACAGGGTGAACCGCTGCCAGTGACAGCTCCATATCTTTGTGGGGTTTCTTTTTTTTTTTTTTTATTTCTTTTTTTTTGAGACGTAGTTTTGCCCCTGTCACCCAGGCTGACAATGGCGTGATCTCGGCTCACTGCAACCTCTGCCTCTTGGGTTCAAGTGATTCTCCAGCCTCAGTCTTCCTAGCAGCTGGGATTACAGGCGCCCGCCACCACACCTGGCCAATTTTTGTATTTTTAGTAGGGACGGGGTTTCACCATGTTGGCCAGGCTGGTCTCGAACTCCTGAGCTCAGGCAATCCACCCGCTTTGGCCTCCCAAAGTGCTGGGATTCCAGGCATGAGCCACTGCACCTGGCCTCTTTGTGGGGTTTCTGTTCCAGGGTTGCTGCTGTGGCCTGAGTGTGTGCATCCCTCCAAATTCCTATGTTGAAACCTATTCCCCAGTGTGAGGGTATTAGGAGGTGGGGCCTTTGGGGGTGATTCAGGCATGAGGGCAGACTCGTGCCCATTAGGGAGGCCCCAGAGAGCTGCCTCGCACCTTCCACCAAGCGAGGACACGGCCAGCATCCGGATGGGAAGCAGGCCTCGCAGACACCCGTCTTTCCCGCGCCTCGATGTTTCCGTTGTTTGTCAGCCTCTGCTTTATGGTATTTTGCAATGGCAGCTCCCGTGGACTAAGACAGCCGCCTGGTCTGCAGTGTTACATAAAAGTCTGTGTGGCTGCCCTGGTCATCTCAGGAGAAAGAGCTTGCATAGACTCCAGGCGGTTTGGAAAGCAAGACACACTTAGCGTTTCCAGTCAGATGGGGTGTACCACTGGCAGTGCCAACTCCGTTTCTTCGGGGGGGTTCTGTTTCCGGTCCCTACAGCAGCAGTGTCCCTGAAAATCCGAGTGAAGGGAGCTCTACACAACTGCCGGGAGCCTTGTCTGTTTTGTGGTTCTTCTTTATATAGTTTTTTCTAGTTCCCTAGGGACCCATAAAAGCATAACATGGAGTTACAAGCTTTTCTCAGTATTTTCAAAGGCTTTTGGAAATATTTACCTGGAAAGGGCCACATAAGGAATTAAAAATGTCAAGGGCTAGGCCAGGTGTGGTGGCTCAGGTCTGTAATCCCAGCACTTTGGAATGCCAAGAGAGGCTGATCACCTGAGGTCAGGAGTTTGACACCAGCCTGGCCAACATGATGAAGCCCCATCTCTACTAAAAGTACAAAAATTAAAAATACAAAAATTAGCCAGGCATGGTGGCCTGCCCCTGTAATCCCAGCTCCTCGGGAGGCTGAGGTATGAGAATCACTTGAACCCGGGAAGCAGAGGTTGCAGTGAGCTGAGATTGCGCCACTGCACTCCAGCCTGGGTGACAGAGCAAGATTCCGTTTCAACACAAACAAACAAAAACACCAAGGGCTAGAATCTGTGTGGCCACATTGAATACCATATGGAAGATAAATTACGCTTAAATGTGGCAGTTCGTTAACATACACCCACATATACACATACACACATATGTGCGTGCACGTGCACACACACACACATACACACACGTTAAGTGCCAGCACTGTAGTAGTAACAATATAATTCCCAGTGCGCTCATTCATGTTAAATCCCATAGAGGTACGGTTATCATTATTACTTTTAAAAATTCTCGTTTCATTTTTCTGTTTGAAGAACACTGAAACAAAAACTTCTAGTTTGATGCTAAAATTCTGGCTAATCAAGAGAGAAGGCCTCAGACGTGGAGCCATGGGCAGGCAGCAACAGTATCTAGCAGGCATTGAATAACGTGGTTTTCTTTTCATTGTTTTCATTTCTGATGATCCTCCATTTATCAATGCTTGCACCCGCTTTTCCAATTATAGAAACTTTCCTCTCAAAATTTGACTTCACATAAAGCTATAACAAGCAGCCGGTGCATGTAGATATGACCAAAACTATGAAGTGCCATCGATTAGCCACAGTTTGGAGAGTTCTGTACCTGCAGTTAAAGCTGGTCGGGTGAAATACCTAAACGACCCCTGCTGAGAGAACACCACAACCGGCTGGCCATCTCTGGTCCCCTAACGTACTGCTTATTTCTGATCCACCTTCCTTTCCAGAGCGGTATGGGGGCAACCAGGGTACACAGCACTGGGGGTATCGTGACAGAGCTCTCCAGAGAAGTAAGACCATTGACCACATGACCCTAGACAGTAGAAGTGTAATAACAACTATAATATTATAATATCTATAAAAAAAGACTCGGCCACATGTGGCTGACGCAAGCGGGAGAAAGAGAGAGCTGCTGAACAAAGGTCGGCGCCGGGCTGGTTTTCCTCTTTGAACTTGGCTGCCCGCCTGAAGGAGCAGGTACTCGTTCTAATGCTTCGTATACTCGTCTTTTAGGAACCCATCGTTGCTGCTGCCTGGCTTTCAATATGAGCATCGAATGGTTTCAGTCCGGAGGAATCATGTTCTTCTATACCAACGGCGTTTTTTTTTTGTTTTTGTTTTTTTCAGAGACGGAGTCTTGCTCTGCCCGCCCAGGCTGGAGTGCAAGCGTATCTCAGCCCACCAGCAACCTCCGCTCCTGGTTGAGCGATTCTTCTGCCCTCAGACGCCTTAGTAGCTGGACTTACCGGCAGTGCCACACGCCTGGCAACTTTTTGTATTTTATAGAGTCGGAGTTCACCCCATGTTGGCCAGGTGGCCTCAATCTCCTGCCTTGTGATCCGCCCACCTCGGCCTCCCAAAGTGCTGGGATTACAGGCCTGAGCCACTGTGCCCAGCCCCTTTTTTTTTTTTGAGACGGAGTCTCGCTCTGCCACCCAGGCTGGAGTACAGTGGTACGATCTCGGCTCACTGCAACCTCCACCTCCTGGGTTCAAGCGATTCGCCAGTCTGAGCCTCCCGAGTAGTTGGGATTACAAGTTCCCACCACCACGCTCAGCAAATTTTGTATTTTTAGTTGAGATGGGGTTTCACCATGTTGGCCAGGCTGGTCTCAAACTCCTGACCTCCGGTGATCCGCCTGCCTCGGCCTCCCAAAGTGCTGCGATTACAGGTGTGAGCCACCGCGCCTGGCCCCTTTCTACCACTTCTTTATGGAACACGGCACCTCCCTCTAACTTTGGTTTGCCTGCTTTTGAAAGCACAGTGAGTGTAAAAAGTGTTTGTCTTCCCTCCTAAAGTGGCTGTTAGGAATCTTGTCCCTGCAGGGCTGGGAGCTGACTCTGCAGGAGAAGCCACAAGTCCAGAGGCCTCCTCTTTTTATTCGAAGGGGTGAATGTGTGTGTGTTTTTATTAAAAATAACACCAGTGAAATGCCTTTATTTTTAAGGGCTGGGAACTAACTAAGCACTGTGGGCATGTGAGCATACGTGCACATGCACACACACACACACACACCCACCCACCCACACCCCCCCTGTTGGCCTTGTATGTCCTACAAAATGCATCTCTGTATTTTCTTTCCTTTCCTAATTCTGGAAGGAGGTCATTGCAAAATGGTTTTGAGCAAGGATAGCCATGGCTTTGCCTGTTGAGGAGTTGACAGAGACTTGACATTCCAGGATTAGGGAACAGTCGGGGGCGTGGGGCTGGCCGAAGGTGCTGCCGGCTCCTGGCGCTGATG